ATGACGATGTTTTACATTATAAGCATAGTTCTATTATTAAGTGTCAAAAGTGTAGGCAGGCAGTGGTGCATCTTCTTTTGAGAAAGTTACCTTCCTTGTATATGTACACAGTGAAAACACACACACGCACGCACGCACACGCACACACACACACACACACACACACACACACACACACACACACACACACATACACACACATCCCCGCAATGCCCCTTAGCACAGCTGCTATTTTCAGGCGGTGCATTTCTCGTCAGACTATGTTAGACTTGAACTAGTTTTGAGACCTCATACTGTCGAAAAGGTAAAATCTACAGTGCGCATTTTTAGAGAAACGCTATATTCAGTTTTGCCAACAGTAAACTATTGGCGCAGGGCTACCCAAGTTTTTTTTTTTTTTTTTTTGAGGAAGTGGGGTGTGCAGCAGAACGCCTAACTTTGGCAAGTGGTGATGGCTGTGAATGCGTGTAAATATTTTAGTAAACCCTGAAAAGTTAAATTACGAAAACATTTCGTGGTGTAGAGGGTTCAGATTCCCTTCCTCTCTCCTTTTTACTTATGGCTTTCTGGTTCTGCGTGCATGTGACACAGTATTTGTTTTTTAATCTCACAGCTTTATGAGCACAGCTAACTTCCAATATATTGGCTCACTTATTTTGAATATTGTAGATACCTAACCAACGAAGAAAGAGTTAAGGAGAAGAAATCAGTATAAGACACACCCTTTCTGAATTATTTTCGATCTCTCACAAGGGCTTTTATAGAGCTCAAATTCATTAGATTGGCGTGTCATACTTCAAGGGCTATGGCATTATGTGCTAGACATGAATGATGGGCAGGTACAAAGAAATCTGCATCAAGAAAACACGATGAAGGAGCCAAAGCGCATAGCAGTTCCTGCACGCGGCTCTTTCAGTACTATTCAACTGCAGCGCCGCCGCTGCGGGCAACGCGGAAGGGATCAGGGGGCGAGGCGCGGTCACGCCACTTAACACTTCTAGTACACTCTACCACTAGAAACCACTGCTGTTATTGTGGCTAGAATAAGAAAGTGTGATGAACGCGCCGGCTAGTGTGTAACGCGTTGGGAGGAAACTGGCAGGTGGCGCTGGCACACAATTGCACATCACCCAAGGCGGTGATGCGCTGCCCAGAGACTGGAATCAACCACGCGCGCAGGCAATGTGAAACATTTAAAATATATTTTGTTGCTCGTGCATGGCCTTAAATGGCGACCGAGAAAATATGTTCATTAGATTCTGGAATTACAGGATGCCTACGTGGGTGCACGACTGAACTGGAATATGCCGTGAAATATGAAATGTGCCGAAAGTGAGCGTGTGACCGCACTGAAACATTTTATCGATGTAAAGTGGTAGAAGAGTGGAACGATGAACTCAGTTGTGAGCCATTGCTTGCAACACCTTCCACGGCGAACCGTAATTTCCTCAAGCACTAATCTGTAAATAATGCCACATCATTAGTAACGTCAGACTGAGAGGCGACAATCACGAGCGGTATCAGAATGAAAACCATTTATTTTCTGCACACAGGTCATACAATGCATTTCGCTATCTGTTTACAACAATGCATTCTTCGTAATTTGTCGCACGTCTTATATTTATCGCCAAGAAAAAAAGTTTTATAGTGCATAAGTGCCCCACATAACGTTGGGCTGCAAGCCTAAGTGACGCACATGACATTCAGGGGCTTCCTCTTTTCATGGGTAGGTGCTCACTCCTTGTGGAGTGCCTTTGTGTAAAAACGCGAATGGGTGGGCAGAAAAAACTTGGTCACTTGATTGGTGAGGCTCGGACCATGTTGTGCGCAGCCCAGTGACATCTTTTGTTTTTTTGTTTTTTTTTCAAGGAAGAAACAAACTCTTTCAAGCTGTCACTGTAAAGCTCGTTGTAGCTAAACCACTTTGAAAAAGTGATTTCAAGGACTTCTAGAAATGCGAAGACAAATGCGAAACATCTATGGCTCTCAGCCACTGATGGCTCATATTGCTGTAATTTGACTGTAGAATGCAAATAACTTTTATGAAAGTGCATATAAGACATTTTAATGGACAAAAAAAATTATGTGAGAACACTTACAATTCTCAGCCATCTCTCATTATTCACTTTAGTTTCCCAACAATTATAAAGGCCATATCAAGTGTTAAATGATTGATTTGTGGGGTTTAACGTCCCAAAACCACCATATGATTATGAGAGACGCCGTAGTGGAGGGCTCCGGAAATTTTGACCGCCTAGGGTTCTTTAACGTGCACTCAAATCTGAGCACACGGGCCTACACCATTTCCGCCTCCATCGGAAATGCAGCCGTCGCAGCCGGGATTCAAACCCGCGACCTGCGGGTCAGCAGCCGTATCAAGTGTTAAAGAAAATACTTTCACCCTTCACAGGTTATTGAATATGTGGGTGAAATTTCATCTCGATTGGGCTATCATAAATACCAAAAACATGATGTCTAAGCTCAAGGAACTGCCAAAAATAGATCTTGATAAAAACACATTTTAAAGGTGTAAGCCACAGCTCATCTACGCAGAAAAGATATGTTTTTTAAGATTATTTTTTCAATCATGAAAGCTTGGCAATCTTTACTATTTGAGCATGTGGCTTTAGCGGGAACTGCTCATGCAGAATGTAAAGGCAAGCAACCATCTAACAATTTCCAGGGGACTCTAGACAAGGACCTCCTTTTAGTTTTTAGAAGCCACCTTGTGCACTTTAAAAGCGATTTTAACCTACTTCAAGCTTATTTGCAATTATCAGGTTTTTTTTTGTCGTGAAAGTAGAGACTGTTCTTGTCAAAGCAAATAAAAACAAAAATATGTAATTTGGAAAAAGTCCTGCTCTTTGACTCGCATCTCCCCTTAAATCAAACAAATTCCTCCGATATGATTGCTTTCGTACTTATATTCTGCACTCATATTGATCTCTCAATAAACTAAACCCATGTTAAGTGAAGCATATTAACACTGTCCCTTTAGGCTCCATTCAATGAGAATCTACTGTATATGTTTTGTTATTTTTATTGTTGAGCAACATGTGCGAGGAAAAATGTTTAGTATGAATTTCCCTGGCATTTTGAACTTTTTAAAAAAAAATGACTCCTACGTGGCAATCCACAAATTTCTTTTCACGCTTTGCTGCTCGTACCTAAATTTTTTGTTTTTGTGATGCTCTTCTGAGACGTGATTCGTCAGCCCACAGGTATGGCTGACCTTGTAGCGAGTTGACAAGACTACATGAAGACTGTATCCCGAATGAATTTCTTTTTTTCCCTTGATAAGCCCTACACTAATATGGGATAAGAGCTGCTCAGTTCATTTGCCCTTTCTCATCTAGTTTGCTCTGAAACTGCTTTCCTACTTTTTGCCAACAGCTTTCGCAAACCGAGAAAAGGACAGATTTCTAGAATCACACCTGTCTAGCTGTGCTCTTATCCAGTTCACTGTCACGTACAGACAAGTTATAAAATGCAGTGCGACGGAAAAAGCTATCACTCTCCTTAAAGGTAGCGTGGCACTGCAAAAGTTGCAGCCAAAGGCTATAGTTTGAAAAAAGATATGTGCTTAATCATCATGATAAAGGGATGTGGGAAATTTCGAAAGCCTATCAGATATAGCAATGTGGAAACAGCCATCAGTGTCTCTACATAAGGAATTCATGCTTTTGAGCCTATGCCAATACGACTCTTACTGCTATATGAGCTGCCAATGAGAATTATGCCAACAATAGTAATGATGCACAGAAACCTCGATATAACAAAACCCAGACACAATGAAATACTGGTTATAACGAAGTAAATGAAAAATAGTCTTTCAACAGATACAGTGTTAATAATATAGCTTTATATCAAATGTCTGGATATAACAAACTTATTTTCGTGTACGATGCAACTTTGTTATTATGAGGTTTGAGTGTATCTGGGGATTTTCATGCTGAAACCAGCCTAGGTTTACAAGGCATGCCACAGTAGAGAGTGTCGAATTTCTAAAATCAGGTGTCCTCCAACATGCACCGACACAGCCAAGCACACGAACCTCTAGCTTCAGCTTTACTGAAATGTGGCTGCAGCTCCTGGGTTTGAACGTGCGACCTTCAGGTCCACAGCTGAGCACCGTAACTGCTGAACAACCAAGGTGAACAATGCGAATAGTGTCTATGATACAGGGTTTATCAGACATATCATATTGCAACTATATGTTACTCTCATTTCAGCTGCACGTTTGGTACAAATATTACCTTGAACACAAACACATGGATACGTGTGCGTGTGCACGAGTGTTTTCAGTGACCAATAAACTCTATTGATAGTTAGCACTCGTGTTTGTCAATCTACTGCTTCGTCAGCCCTCTATTCACTTTCTTTACAAACTTGAGCGCATCACTGCACCAATTTTCCACAACGAACTTGAAGGAACTTGCCTACATCAGAATTCTTACATACTATAATCCACAGTCTGTGATTGCAACATCTTGAATGTCAATGATGATGATATGTGGGGTTTAACGTCCCAAAACCACCATATGATGAAAGACGCCTCGCCGTGGTGGAGGTCTCCAGAAATTTCAACCACCTGGGGTTCTTTAACGTGCACCCAAATCTGAGGACACGGGTCTACAAAATTTTCGCCTCCATCGACAATGCAGCCGCTGCAGCCGAGATTTGATCTCGCGACCTGCGTATTTTAAATGTTAATGCAGAAGTAATTTTGTATTTCAAGTCCGCCTCTGCAACATGACATACCACATAGTTCCTGGTTACGAGAACTGGACTGTTAGATTCAACAATACCTTTATATGAGAATCCATGTTCTCAGCACACTGGCAAAGCCCACTGGCATACTTACACGAGATATTCCAACAAAGGACTGCACGATGACTTTGTTATCTACGAATTTCCCATGGGCAAATTTCATCAAGACTGTTCCTGTCACAAGTCTTTCCACATCAAAAGCTCCAACATGAGCCGTTACGTGCGCATACCTTGAAAGCAGAGCTCGCGAAGCCTCCGTGTGTCAATACGATCAGACTCCAAGAGCCTCTGCAAGTCATGGACCCTGGAAGCAGACAGGCCAGAATATTGCCAAGATGCAACAATATACTTCATCCTACACTGCTTATGGTCGTTGACTCCCTTGTGCAGACTTTATTAGTAGTGCACTTACAGTCTAAAAAATTATATCAGTTGAACCTGCTTCCATTATTACTAAAATAATTTCGAATAGATGAGCACTGTGCAAGGACAGATGGTGGCAAACATTACAGGTATTACTGCAATTGTCATACATTCTATAATATCTGTGCGCACCAAGCTGCGGTTTCTCAATTCAGGTCACTTGAATGGATGGATAGCTATAGATAAAATCATAAGCCACTTTTGTCACTACAGTGCCTCCTTAAAAAAATCAACACACTCTTCTCTTGCACGAGTAGTTTTGACGTACTAACACAATGTTAGAAACACAACTCGACATTCTGCTGCCCACAAGCGTGCAGGAAAGCTGAACAGAGGAGCAGACACTCATAAAATGAGTGGCTACTCCTCTGTTCTGGGCTAATAAAAACAGACTGCAGAATCAGGTTTTTACACACCCACTGGCAAAATAATTAAACTAAGCAAACTAACAGGCTGAACTGCACACACAATGTTGAATGCAATCACCTAGTGTGTAGAAACTGTGCGTAGTATCTAACACAAGTTTTAGTTTCACTGCCAATTGGCTAGGAGACTAAAAGTTGCATTGCAGTCTCAAGAAATTGTGTAGGCCCACCAAACTGTACATGTTCTAATGCACTACAAGAGAAAGTGTACGTCTGAAAGAGGTGCACTAAAAACAAAAAAGTTGGAAAGAAACTCTGCACCAGGCATTGAAGGGGCCCTGCAACACTTTTTCAGCATGGTCAGAAAATGCTGCTCATTGCTAGTAGAAGTTTTTGAAAACATACGAGCTAAATATTACAGCAGAAGCCACGACTTCAAGTTTGCAATTAATTCTGAAAGTCAAGTAGGAATCGTACCCTCTTCTCTCAAAAAATGATGCCATAAACCAAAATGGTCACACTATACACACAATGTGCAGTGCTATCAGATGATTTGAGCATTGTGCACTGCACAGGCTGTCACAGGATGCTGCCACTCCTTTGCGTATGCAACATACTTTTACCTGGTTTATTCCTTGTTACCACACCACCTACAACTTTCAAGCACTGCGCTATAATTTACCATCCAACCTAAATAATTATGCCGAACTTACTACTGCTACATACTGGCAGTTGCACGATTTTTTTTTCATTGAAGCTCTCTCGTTCATGTCTTGACTGTGCAAACTTTAGCTTACCTTGTCATATTGCATTTCTATTCTCTATCTTGTAATTTTTACATGACATGTTTTTCAGTAAAATTCTGTAATTACAGTAAACCTGAAGTTTTAGAGAATGCTTTTCTTATACACATATATCTTGCAATTACAGTATCTTTTTGTATTTGCTTATGCTGTTTCTGTGCAAATTTTACTGTGAATAACTGCATGCTATTTTTTAATACTTGATGTAACCCTAACTGCAACTCTTACAATGTTATACCCTTGTCACACGGGCACCCGCGAAGACCGTTTATCTCCCTCGTCTTTACGACAACGAAGATGCGGTCCGTGTCACACGGCCACCCTTACACAAACAAAGGTAAATGGAGCGTTTCGCAAAGGATGTTCAACGATCTCCCTTCGGAGCGAAACGAGGTACTCTCGTCCCCAGCAGTCTAGAGGTCAGATAAAAATTTCGAGCACTAAGTAGCTGCAGTGAAAGAATAATACATTTTGGCAATATTAAACATTGTTTCGTTGTAGTACTTATTCACAATGGGTGTTTGTTTACATATATTTACGCCCGCCAGAGTTCACTTACTCTCAACACCGATGCCCTACACACCGTGCCACGCGAGTCGGGTCGGCCGGCGCCAGCCGATCAACGTCATTACCAGCGTAATATCGTAACACTTCCTCACGTCATCCGCTGTGTCACTCATGGCTGAAGAACACAAAATGTGCGCTCACGAGGCAAGGAAGCATAAGAAATTTCGTACCGGGCATGTACACAGGCAACAAAATAACTAAAAGCACAATGTGGCCAGCGTCACCAGCAGCATCGCTACATTTAGCAAATGCGTTTTTATTTGAAATTATTTTTAATGGTTTGTTAGTCGCATACCTACTTAATAGTGCTTTTTTGTAAAAACCGCATAAAGAGGATTCACAAAAAAGATCAATAGAGATGAAATTAGAATACCTTTCCGAAAATCAAACAGCGCTAGCTGAGCTTCCTCGCGGCAACTGTTATAACCTCGTCACTGCCGTGTGACACTGTCACAACTCCTTCTCCGTTAAACCCCCTAGGGGAGATTTACGTTGACGGTGTCCAACGGAGTTTGGTGGTGGCCGCGTGACAGGGGTATTTATTTTTATTTTTTTATTTATTTTTATTTACAAATACTGCTGTCTCAGTTTTTGAGACATTGCAGGAGTGGAATACAAATGTTCAAACAGTAAAACAAATTATCAGAATACATGACTACGCAACTCTTTTTCGAATTGCAGAGCATCGAGTCTGCGCAGAGACCCATCAAGCTCATTCCATAGATCCACGGTCCACGGAAAAAAGGAAAACTTAAAGCAGTCGAGACTAGCTCTAAAGGGCATAATGTTTAAGGGATCAAATCGTCGGGTACGGCGCGCAGAAGCTGCAACAAAAGAAATGGGCGCTAGAACACCCAAGCCTGTGTGAACAGTCTTATGCAGGAGGATGATACGATCGCAAGTGCGCCGATGTTCTAGAGACTGCAGTGATAAAACATGCGCATGCGAAGTAGGCGAGAACCGCTGGTCATAGCGACGAAAAATAAACCTTATTGCTTTCTTCTGAACAGATTCTAACATAGCTATGTCATGTTTATGGTGAGGCGACCAAACAACCGACGCATATTCAAGTATGGGCCTGACCAAGGTCTTGTACGCTGTCAATTTGCATTCTTTTGTCGAGTTGTTTAAAGTGCGTCGGAGATACCAAAGTTTTCGAAGAGCCTTGTTGCAGATTGTTTCGACGTGCGTGCGCCATTTTAAGTTTGTTGTCAGAGTTACACCTAGGTATTTAAACTCCGTGACACGAGCTAGACTGACACCATTATTAGTGTATGCAAAACTAAGAGGCTGTTTCTTATTTGAAAAGGTCATGGCTACAGTTTTTTTTGAAATTAATTGACATTTGCCAGTTTTCACTCCAATTACAAAACAATGAAAAAACACTGTTCAGGGCTTCCTGATCTTCAACACTAGAGATGGTGTTATAGATAACGCAGTCATCTGCATACATTCTTAGTTTAATTTGTGTGTCACCGATAATTTCTGCTACGTCATTTATGTAGATAATAAACAAGAGCGGCCCAAGCACCGAACCTTGGGGCACCCCTGAAGTGATTTGTACTTCAGACGATTTCACATGGTTAAACGTAACAAATTGTGTGCGTGACCGCAAGTAATCTGCTATCCAGTCAACTAGCTTATTGTCACCAAAAAATGTGCGAAGTTTAACTAAAAGTTTAGCATGGCAAACCAAGTCAAAGGCCTTTGAATAATCAATAAATATGGCGTCAATCTGTCCTCGGTCGTTAAGAGAAGAAGCGACGTCGTGCGTAAATTCAAGCAACTGTGTAACAGTAGAATAGCAAGCACGAAAGCCGTGCTGTGATCGGGAAAGTATATTGTGTGCATTTAGGTATTCTACAATATATTTATGAATGATATGCTCCAAAAGTTTAGAGCTGGTAGAAAGTAAAGATATTGGCCTGTAATTTGGTATTAATTGCTTGTTTCCAGACTTAAATACAGGCACGACGTTTGCTAATTTCCACAGCTGGGGAACTGTTGCAGAGATTAATGATTATTACAGAGATTAATGAGTATTACTCGCATGTGTTTAAGTACGATCTTATATGCCCATTTGTACTGTAAACATGATGTGCTGCCAATGTAAGGGTCTTCAGTGACCAAGTCAAGCTGTCTAGCACAGGTTTTAGCTATGAAGAATATGCAGAGTTTTTCTGGTGAAATAAACTTTGCCTTTGACGTGCCCTTGCGCTCATGATAACACTGAAAGTAAGCGACACGTTTGAAAAAAAAAAAGTGCTCTAGCTAATAGCACATGCTGACGAGAGGACTCATCATCTCGCCACATTTTCATGCGCCTCCCTTCCATCCTTCATAGCTTTCAGTGCGCTCACTGGTAAGAGAGGAAGGAGAAAGCACTTGAAGCGTGCAACAAATCTCTGCAACTCTGTTCGTACTTCGCGGATCAAACAAATTTTTGCGGCAATCGATTCGTAAGACCAGCTATTTTAATTAATCCATTTGACGATTATTTCGAAAAGTGTTGTGGGGACCCTATACACAGAAATTACTGTGCAAAAGAAATGTGTTCAGAAAATATGCACTCATATTATTAGTGCTTATATGCACAAAACAACAGACTCTGCAGTTGTTGGTGCTCTTCTGTGCCAGAGTGTGCAAGGAGTGATCGCTTTCATTATTTTATGGTTTATGTGACAGATGTCACCGAAAATCCCCTCACATCTTTCTAGCTGCTTAAACAATCACTGCAGTTGTTCATGTTCTTGCATTTCGACAGTCGGTCATTGCTTCATGCCAACCTGGCCTGCACTAGCCTCCAATAGGTCTCCGATTTCATCTGAGCAACATGGGTTACCCACTTTGCAAGTCTACAGACACAGGCGTTGTCCTCTTGAAAACGAGATGCCATGGCAGTGAAAAAACATGCACCCTTGAGCTTTGCCGCTAAGCCACCATGGCAGGCACAGCTGGTTTTAGAAATGCCACAAGAGAGTATGCCCATCTTACCATAACATGCCATTTCTGATAATCAATCGCTTTAGTTATCCTCATTTCTTTCTTTGCGAATGAAAAACAGCAACGTGATGTTCTGTAACAGTGTACCAAGTGGATTACCACAGAATGTCACTAATACCACCAGAACGCTGCCAGTAGGGGCAATATTCTGTGACAAGTAACAGAATAATACCCCTATCAGACAGTCCACTAGGTCAGTGGCACAAGATCTACGGATTTGTCAGTAGATCCGATTTTCTTGACTACCAACGGATTCCCGAATAAAAAGAAAATTCTATAAATTTTTACAAGTTCCTAGATTTTTTTTTCAGTAGCGACATCTGCATCTGCTATCAACCCCCTCTCAAGGGCAGCTGGCGTCTGCCGAAATGTTCTTCCCTACCTAGAAGATTAGCCACACACTTGAGCACAGAAGACTCAAATGCACCCACTCGCACAGGCCTCAAATGAGGGCTGCAGAAACAGCGTCTGTTCATCTCTTTCAGTCTCAACCCCCCTCCCCCTATGTTTTGGCAAAATCACTGTGTGTCTACAAGTCTGAGGTGCAACGAGCTGCTCGTCTATTATGGTGGTCTCTAAAACAGTTGCTGGAAAGCTTCAAGAAGCTTCCATGGCTACCCAGAACACATACTTGTCAATTTGAAGTGCTCAGAAGGCTCTGTAAGAAAAATATCACTTAAAAAAGCAACTGAACATCATTACTAAAATCTTCAGGCCATTACATAAGGAAGGAGTGACATGATGTGCATAGCTGTTTGTTCTCATTGTAGAATTCACCACTTTCAATGAATGCTCGCAAACAACCACTGCAATGTCCATTAGCAAATCCTGGAGGCAAACATTCCAACCCCATGCTCTCTGCTTAGAGATTTACGACCGCATTCACCAAAAATACTTCGACTGCGCCACAAGCGGCAAGCACTCGTAACATTTTTGGTTGCACATGGCCTCCGAGACATGCCGGTGCACATTCTCGGAGGCCACAGGCCCGCGAAAACCAGAGCAAACCATGGAAGAAATACACACACCACATGTCGTGTCAACCGTAAATGGCTCTTGCCGCTATGGGTGCTCTAGCGACTGTGAAAAATATCTATCATACTTATTTTATACAACATTTCTGTGAGTGCTTCATAACTAACAATAAATAAAATACTTACTGACACAAGTAATTAATTACATTTATGCCATTAAATTGATACTTAATGAATCCATGCAGTTTTCACATTATCTGCTGATTTTTAGCAGGCCCGGCTACGGATTTTGTATTTGGGCCGCGACAGCACTGTACTCGGTGGACAGTATACTAAAGGACTGCCAGTAACCCAGCCAGCATACACCGAAATGGGCAGTCTATTCAATGAAATTTTACAGGACACTGCCTCAGGTCGTGGCATAAGGCTCCAACCAACCTCCCTGTGCTGGATTTGCCTCAACAAGCAAATTTTTAAAAGTAGCTCTTTCTTCTTTTGTTCAGAGTGAACACACATCAGAAAACATAACAGGCAGATTAAAACCACTGTTCCGTTCCCTGCTTGAATTGTGGCATGTAATAACAATTTCCATTATTCCCGTTTTTGACGTAGGAACGACATGTACTAACATTGCGCTATGTTACTATTTGTTTTAGTATTACCGCAGACAAGCTTTAATGACATTCTATGAGCACGCTAGTATGCACCTGCACCAGTCCCTTGCACAAGCCATGCCCCTGCACCATTGTGGCAGAAAAAAAAATTATAACAATACATGCGTTATTGCAAGCATTATTTTTTTTCTTTGCCAGCATATTAGGAGGTCAGTGCTTCAACAGATGTGTGCACTCCAACATTAAACACTACAATGTCATGCGCCAGCATATGTGCTTGTGTAAAAAAAGAGCGGCACGACAGAAAGGCACCGAGAGCGATCGCTTTTACGTCTGTGCCTCCCCCGTCTGCAACACTGCACGTTCTCACGCTGACCGCCGTCGAAACCCAATACTCGCGCTGAAAAGATGCGACACCTCAAGGCACGGCGCACGCAAATAACGAACATATAATCCCCTTTATGACGATCACCGTTAATTCGAGGCTTGTTCAGTATGCCATTTTTTTACGGAAATTCAGTTTGCGTTAAAACGCTTGACGTTGGTTGTCGACGCACTACCGCAAGATGCTTAGTATTCTATCAGCCGGTCTCGCACAAAGTAATATTCCACTTGTACAAACTGCCAGAATGTTGAGTAGCCAATTAAAGCATGCCGCAGACTATCGCCAGCACAACTGCGGGAACAAGAGGTTGAAGACTGGTATGCAAGCACGTTTCATGCGATGGAGAGTTTTTCGAAAAGCGGCCAACGGAAAGGTCACGAGGAAAACCGCGCGCTTCATCACGGGGCATCCAGAGCGGTCGCGAAGACGCCCCCCTTTTTCTTGTCGTACACAGCGACCCCCCAGGCTGACGTAATACACTACAGATCAGTTACATTTTGTTTGCGGTATCTACATGACGATAGTAATAGCACGAGAACAGAACGACGACACAGAGTCAAGAAGGACATGTATCGTGGTTCTGTTCTCGAGCTATAACTATCGTCATGTCATACCAACCAGCCCAAGCTGCCACACTTCTAAGGTATCTACATGCCTTGTCCTGTAGGTGGACATGTCCTCGTCGTGCGGCAAGCAGGGTCACGACATCGTCGGCGGCTCACTCGCAAGACCTCGGACTCGTAGCCGCAGTTCTGCTCCTCCGGCTAGCACGAAGACCCGGAGATGTCTACCACCAGCGCAGGAGCACAGCCGCCGAACATTTTATCAGCACTGCCCGCGCACGAACGCCTGCTGCAGCTCACCCGGCAGATCGCCGAGGCGCATCGCTTCGCCGGTCTCGTTGGCCTCGTCGCGTCCGATCACCTGTATTTCTGCGGATGAATACGTAAGTTGCGTACACAACAGCTGAAGCATGGCTGAAGCTCAAACAGCTATCACCATCATCAACACATTACCAGTCCTTATTTTGCCGTCAACTGTCGCTATAACGAATGCGGATAATCTCGAATAATTGGTGCAGCTGAGAGCCGAGGCCAGCCAGCTAACTTGTTTCCATCCGCAGTGGCGGGAATATTATGTGACAGCGTAATTTGAGCGCAGTTTTCGCTCTTTGTGGATCACTTGGACATGACACGGGCCTTGTGATCACAGCCCATCGTTGAAGCTGCCCACAGAAAGCCCGTAGTGGAAAGAGTGCAACTCGACCTTTGCTTACTGCGCTGCATACCTAAAGCAATGTCCGAAGAGTGCGGCTCTGAGGTGAACGCTGTGGGCTACTACAGTTTCAGCGGCTTTGATACCAAGACGCCGTTCCTGATTGGCGTCGCCGGTGGTACGGCATCTGGGAAGGTCAGTGAATGGTGTGCGGAATCGTCCACCTCTTGTTATTAAGACGATCAGCCTATTTTCTTGTAACTTTGGGCAGTCTGACGCCATCAGCATTTTGTCATTATCTGTGTAGTGTGATCTACGTTTTTATTCGTGGTCGTAAGGGAATTTTTCGATGGTAACTGGGCTATCACTGAAGAGCTACTCGCGATGTGAAAGGTTGATCCTGGTTTGATTCCCTCGAAAACGCAGGCGTTCAAAGGCGACTCCATAGTTGCAATAACTCAGGAGCGTGACAGAGCCCGTTTCTGGTGTTCGAACATGTTCAGAACAAAATTAGTGGGAAGCCAAATGTGTTCACATTTATGAGTGCGTAATATGCGCAAAGATAAACGGTACTGTACAAAGCTTAAACGCAATTCCTGAGTTTCCCTTAGCCATATTTGATACAGGGTGGGATGTTTTGTGTATTTCTTAGATGGCATGATTTCACCATGTATATATATATATATATATATATATATATATATATATATATTTCCCGTCAGGCGAAGTCAGCCATCTGCTCATGGAAAGACATCCGGGCCGTTTGTCTACGAGGCCCAAACTTCCACCTGGTTTCCCATCCAAGCAAATATTGCCAATGCTTAACTTTTCGCTGCATAAAAGAATTGAATCCACTATTGATGACCCAGATGCATTTAATACTTCGTGCCGCATGCATACTTTGCCAACTGACTTGGTATTCAGCTCAGCAGTTCCACAAAGACAGAAGCATTCTCAATCAGCATCTTGTGAAGAAAAGTCTTCTGCGGAAGCGTCTAGTGTTCATCAATCACAAGATCGAAGCGACGTCATTCCAGTATACAACCTCACTGCCAACATTGAAAACAAAAGTGCAGGTGCGAATTCCGATGACACAAGTACTCTTCAGGCAACCACTAACAATGAGCGGTTTATAAATACAGAAGATTCAATTGCACGAATCCCCCCACATTCTCTTGCGCCAAAAATAGCTGCATCGGTTGGTGCCGTAAAAGCCTGTGGATGAATCACTAAGAATCCTGGCGCGCCACGATCAATGTCACACCCCAAGCAAGTCGACGAAACCAAGAAACTACAATGTCAACGTACACTTAAACATTGTCAACGACGAAAGAAAACTTCATGGAAACCACTCTTAAGGCTCAAAGAACATTGCGAGAAGGCCCATCGTCATGGATACATTCTCCACCAGAGATCAAAAATGCGCCTTCGATCAAAACATCTGCGACATAGCTATGGAAACATTTCCAAAAGCCACGAAAGCACCCCTTGTACTCGGCAGGAACACAGGCAGCGCCCAATCAACCTTGATCAACGCGCACGCAAGCTGCCTGCACGGCCTGTGTATCACCCACGAAGAGGAATTTGATGCTTACAATATCGGAACTGTCGATTCTGCAAAATGTTCGAGCCTCGTTCGTTCTTCACAGGAATGCCAGCTGTGATTACCCTTATCTCCACATCCAAAGCATTTTTGTGTTATCCAAGACGCAACCACCAGCCTTGCCCACCAAAATTCCTGCGTTAACCGGACTGCTGCAATCTCCCCTGAAGTCTTTGAAAGTTTACGGAACTACCCTGGAGCATAGAACCAATTGTGAATTTTGACATTTGTGACTTTTTAACCTCTCCTTGTTTACTTTTTCTTGTTCGTAATCCATGCCTTCTTTCGGGGGGAGGGGGAATCCTGTGACGTATGAAGCGATGGTTGGTAGAAGCCGATGAAGAAGAAGTCGGAATGGAATAAACATGGTGTATGAGCCAGGCCGCGCACACACACGCACGCATGCACAGACACACACACACACACACGGGAAAGAAGTGTATACTTAAGGGCTCGTTTTTCCGTGTTTTGACACATTTTATTTTATTTTATTTATTTCAAAGTACCTTACAGGCCCCATGGGGGGCATTGAGTAAGGGGGGCTATACATATATACAAATAAACTGGAAAAAAATATACAATACAGACAATTGAGCAAGGGGGGAATACATATAGACACCTCAAAATGAAAAAAAAAGTACAAAAGAAACAATTGAGTAAGGGGCGCAATACTTATGTACATCTCAAACTAAAACAAATACAAAAGAAACAATTGGAAAATAATAAGTCAAACAAAAAGCACTAACATGTACAAAAGTTCAACATGTACAAAAGATACACGCATAGTAACCGTGGGCGAAACACTATTTCCTGCGCATGCAGCGGCCACAAGGCAGAATCCTCGCGCACATGAATGTGACAATCACAAAAATGAACCAATGCGGACCAATGAATTATGATACGGCATCTACTTGCTAAGGCTTGTGAAGTGGCTTGATAAGATATGACGGAATGTGTCAAAGTTTGTCTGGGATGCAATGTCATCAGGCAAACTGTTCCACAGACGGATAGCACGTGGAAGTGCGGACTGATTGAACGCGTTTGTTGAGCCGTATACACGGGAATAGCTAAGATGATTGTGTAGTCTACGTGAAGTGAGATATGGTTTTTGCAGACCAGTAACGGTGATTCGGGAAGAATGGGTAATTTTATGAAAGAATGACAGCAGGGCAATGTCGCGACGAATGTTCAAGAGTGGGAGTGAAAGTTCCTGTTTGATTTGTGATATACTAGAATGCGGACTGTAGTTATTGGCAATGAAGCGGCTTGCTCTATTCTGGATTCTTTCCAATGAGTCAAGTATTTTTGATGGGGAGACCGAATCGAACAGGCATATTCTAGTTGAGGGCGAACCAGTGTCAAGTAAGATAATTTGCGAATGCCTGATGGTGCAGCTTTCAAGTTACGTCTCAAGAAACCTAGTGATTTCGAGGCGCTGGCAGAGATTGCCGTAATGTGGTCGGACCAGGATAGATTAGGTGTCAGTATTACGCCCAAGTACCGATATTGTGTTGCAGTCGATAGAATGGAATGATTAATACTGTAAGAGAATTCGGATATGCTAGGTTTACGTGTGAACGACATTACTTTGCATTTTGAGACATTTAGTGTCATCAGCCATGCACTACACCAACCATTAATTACGTCGAGGTCGTTTTGGAGTGACAGGTGATCTTCACTGTTCTTGATTGGACGGTAAATAATGCAGTCGTCAGCGAACACCCTGATGCAAGAAGAGACATGTTGCGGAAGATCATTGATGAATATGAGGAAAAGTAATGGCGCGAGTACACTGCCCTGTGGTACACCTGAAGAAACGTCAGATAGGGAAGAAGACAAATTGTTAACTGTTGTGTATTGCTGACGATTCGACAGGAAATTGCGAAGCCATGATAATGTACGGGAGTCTAATTTCAGGGCGGAAAGTTTCGATATCAGGCGACAGTGTGCAACCCTGTCAAACGCCTTCGAATAGTCGAGGAACACGCAATCAGTTTGATAATTATTGTCCATATTTGCATGAAGCTCTGTGGTAAATTCAAACAACTGAGTCTCACACGAAAAGCCCTTTCTGAAACCATGCTGATTTTTGAAAAAGAAATGATTGGATTCCAGATGCCTGTAAATATGTGAAGCGATGATGTGTTCTAGAATTTTACAACAAATAGATGTAAGGGAAATAGGACATTATTGAGATCTAACAGACAATAATGCCAAGGAATGTGTAGGGGAAGATGCTAGACCAATTGTAATGTAAATGTGAACAAAGAAAAGTGGGTGAAAAGATAACTTGCCGTGAGCAGGAACCGAACCAGCGACCTTCGAATAATGCGTTCGATGCTCGTATTACGGTGTTACCTCATTACTTTATGTATATATATACTGTACTAGTTCTTTTTTTTTACTCTGTAGGAACTGCAGTTAAGTTCACTACTAAAGTGCTACACACGAAGACTACTTGGAAGACCTTAAAGGAGCACTGACGTCAAATTTACTCATGTCAAGATTTTTGCGTCAGCAAGTAGCTATAGACCCCGTAGCAGCGATTCGCGACCTAGAATGCAACTGAAGGGTGAATAAATATCAATTTTATTTATTTATATCACTGGTATCTAGCACTATTCGAAACGGCCGGCAATCTCGCCATTTTTAGCGCTGGGAGCACCATCAGTGGTGCTACCTCACGGTCACCTCCAGATCACGCCACAGCTGACCACTTCTCCACAAAAAGAGTGATGTCAGGCTTAGCTGCTCCACAAGCATTTCGTCTACTAGGCGGGCACATTCAGTCATGCCTTGTCACCTGCATTGCTGTCGTCGCCGTACAAAGTGTCGACTCGGGTTCAATACGATAGTCTGGAGCTTGGAATTTCCGCGATTCACGATGTCACAAATTATTTTTGCTTCGATCGACCTTTTGCAGGACAGTGATTCCGAAATGGACGCCGTTCCAAGCCGCACTGCAGAGGTGCCTGAGGATGCACGCTTCAGCCATGTTCGCTCGTGCGTCTCAGTTAGCTATATTGGTGTGTGTTGGCGTGCAAAGCATTCAGGTATTCGCAGAGGGGTGAATGCATTATTGATATCGCAAATGAGCATCAGCGGAGAAATAAAATACGTTTCCTGCTTGTCAGGTTCTTTTTTTCGTCTCCAGATGGCCCCACCTATCCAGCCTCTTACGGTTAACACGCTCTTACCACTTTTACGTAGACGCAAAGTCTACAGATGAACTAAAATTCGATACCTGCATGTTACTTGTTAGCGATGATATCTGACTATACGCTGTTCCACTTTTGATAGCTTGTGGCCGTGTTAATGTGTAACACATATGAAAAGACACTTTCATAGCGCTTTTTCCGTGCTTCGAACTAGACCACTGCAACTCACAACGATTCCCCGACATGCTGACCGACAAGCACATGTTTAATCATGCTTTTTTCTTCCATCGTTCTCTTAAAGGTGGTTTTTATCTTGATAATTTCACGAAATCATCCAAACTGGTGCGATGAAGATTGGATGCGATGAGCGAGTGCGTTTCTGCGCTTCATCGCCACGATAAGAACACTGGGATCGTACCCGCCATCGCTACTAA